GCTATTTTATGAGCACTGACACCCATGGGGACTAAGGCAAGAGCCACATGGGGCGTCTATCCCAGTTGAGGGGTAGCCTTAGCTACAGTCTCCTTGGTTCACCTGTTGTGGTTAGAATGTAAAGTGTCCTCACAGAATCCTGGTTTGAACTCTTGATCCCAGCAATTAGCACCATCTGGGGACCTTCGGGAGCCAGTGCCTAGTTGGCCGAAGTAGGTTGCTGGAAGGCCAGCACTGAGGGTCATAGCTGGGTCTCACTTCCTGTTCTCAGGTCTGTGACACTGCACCCTCCCACAGCCATGCCTCTCCGATGGACTGTACCTTCTGAGTCCAAAGTACCCCCTTAAATTACTTCTGTTAGACATTTTAATCACAATGTAGAGAAAATTAACTAGTAAAACATTGATTCCACTCCCCCACCCAGCCTTAGCCAGACCTGGAGTCACCATGACCTTTCAAATCAAATCGTTTTTCTTTTATTTATGAATTATTTTTATTTTATGTGTATAGATGTTTTTTTCTTCACGTGTGTCTGCTCACCACGACATACAATACCCCAATACCCGCAGAGTTCAGAAGAGGAGATCAGATCCCCTGGAACTGGAGTTACAGCTGGTTGTGAGCTGCCATGTGGGTGCCGGGAAAAGAACCCTGGTTCTCTGCAAGAGCAAGTGCTCTTACCCACTGAGCCATCCCTCCAACCCCGACAGTGACCTTTTGTCTTCCTTATGGGTTGCTATTGAATCAGAGCCAGGATAGAATAACTGCAATTCCTCTTTGCTGATCTTCCAGGACATTGACAATTGGCTTCTAGGAGAAGCTGGTAGGAAGGTTTCCGACCTAGGCTTTGATTAGCTTCAGCAAGCCCCCCTGAGGGGTACAGGCCCCAGAAAGAAGTGCTTTTTCCCCTAAAGCTTGCAGGGAGCTGTGAGCCTGTGAGCCAGCTTCAGCCAACTAGGCACTGGCTCCGAAGGTCCCCAGATGGCGCTAGTTGCTGGGATCAAGAGTTCAAACCAGGATTCTGTGAGGACACTTTACATTCTAACTGGGTTAGAAGCCTGTATGGGGTGTTGTGTTTGGTACTTCACATTGACCCTTTTTCCAGGCACAAAGCTGTCACCCCACTCCTGCGAATATTTAGTTGCTCACGAATACCTGTCACTAAGAGACAATCCTGTGTGTTTGTATGTGTGCTTGTGTTATTGGAGATGCCTCACACTATAGGCCAGGCTGCCCTTCATCTCTCAGTGATCTTTCTACCTTAGCCTCACAAATTCTGGGGTGACAAACCTGAATCACCATGCCTGTTTGCCTGCTTCTGTACCTGCTGCCATGATGGTCATGGACTCAACCTCTGACAAGATAAGCCCCAAATAAACACTTTCTTCTGTAATTTATCATGGCCATGGTGTCTCTTCACAGCAATAGAAAAGTAACATTACTTCCCTTCAGTGACAGGGTTTGGGTGGGGGTGGCGGTATGTTCTCTTCTGATGGGTCAAGGGAAAAAAGGAAGATCCCACATATCTTATTTGAGATGTATTTTGCCCCTGCATGGGTACATGATCCTTTAGTCATTCAGAAGCCAGGGAGATGCAGACAACACTGAAGAAGGTGTGTGTGTGTGTGTGTGTGTGTGTGTGTGTGTGTGTAGCCTAGCATATTCGAACCATAAACCCCTGGGTGGAATTCCCAGCACTGCAGAAACTTTGTTATTTAAGTACCTCGATAGGGCTGGGTACACGGCTCAATTGGAAAAGCTTTAGATCGACAGTCACTTAATACTATAACATACCTGAGGTGGGAGAGAAGAGACAAGGGGATCGTGGGCACTCACTGGCCAGCCTGCTTAGCCAAAGGTGAGTTCCAGCCAGGTTCAGTGAGAAACCCTGTCTCAGGTAGA